AAAAGCGAAATCATGAAGGGAGACAAGCTTCACAGACAAGGCGGCAGAGGCAGCCAAAAGCGAAATCATGCAGGGAGACAAGCTTGGGAGACAAGGCGGCAGCGGCAGCCAAGAGCGAAATCACGAAGGGAGACAAGCTTGGGAGACTAGGCGGCAGCGGCAGCGGCAGCCAACTTTCGCAATCAGGAACCCATCCATTGAGAAGTAAGAACCCCTATAGCTTCGCTATTTGAGGAAAAAATTTGTTTTGCTCTCATTGCTCTTTGTCAGTTTTTGAGGCCTGCTTCGAGATACCCTTCAATTCCGAGAACAAGTGGATGCTGACTGCCCTGGGCTTAGCAAGGAACCCGACAGGCACATGGTCGTCCAAACGGTTGCTTGGCAGGTCCACCGCCAGCAGAATGAGGTGCGAGCGGACGGCTTTCCTTCCCTTAGTCGTTGGCTTACTCGATGTACATATCCACCGCAGCGTGGTTGACCAAGCGTACAGCTATAGTGAAAAGGGATTTCTGAACCGCTGGTAGCATTTCTATCTGTTGCCCCTTGTTTTGTTTCTAGTTGGTAGTTGGTAGCGGAGCTCCTTGGGTTTGATCCAGGAGCGATCATGCTAGTAGGTTTCTTGGTGACTCTCCTCCTTCTGTGCCCGGAGGGGGCTCACCGAAGCCATGGCGCAGCGGATTCCACGATCCCGGCCCGTTCCGAGCTCGTCCCATGCCGTCGCTCGTTCGACTCAGGTGAGTGCAATCTCCGTCACCATCGACGACGCCGTGAACCTAGTGCCGTTGACCGGCGCCACTTGCGCTACAACTGAATGCTGTGCTGCGCTCACTTGCGTACATAAACCTGTCACAGCTCACAAGTTCCACTCATTCGCCAAAGTCGCCAGGCAAGGGCTTGTTCGTGTTGGCCGTGTTCGACGCCAGAGGCCCATTGAACGCACCAAGCATGCCGCTTGCAAGAGTCAAGCCTTTCTTCGCCTCTTGGTGCTCAACGCAACCCATGTAGAAGCTTTGAGCCAGACGCCGGAAATACGCCTTGCGAGCATCACAACGTTCGAGCACACATGGATGCCCTGGTCACTCCTGATACTGCCAATGATTGTGGCCACATTGTGTCTCATGTTCCGAGGGGCAACATCTATGCGTCTGCCGCCAAGATATGACCTATCAGACACAAATCAAACCTGTCACGCGTGGTCGCAAGACCTGATGCTGCTGTGGAGCTTATCCACAGACTTGCAGCCGCACCAACAAGCCGCCGTGATCATCTCGCAACTCGCAGGACCCGCGCGCGTGTTGGCGCGGCTGACCCAGCGCCTGAAGAAGATACCTCAGAATCTTCCGCAGCGTCCAGTGATGACGATGATTGGCAAAGGCAAGGGCAAGCAACGTGGCAAGGGAAATGGCGTTGACCAGACCAGAACCCGTTCCCGCATGGTGGTTGCTGCGCCGCCTGGACCAACAGTGCCAAAGCGGCAGCCGCCGCAGCCTCCTCCACCTCACCGTCGCAGCCGAGGAAGGTGACATCAGCGAAGGCGAGTCCCGTGTCAGCCGACCATGGGTCGTCACTGCCGAGGAGGAGGAAGAGTGAACAGACGAGGATGAAGAGGGCCCCACTTCATTCTTGGCAACGCTGCCTGATCGTGTCAGGCCATAGTAGCAGTGCGCGAGCCTTTGAAGACCTTGGAATGATGACCGCCAGACTAAGACCACAGGAATTACTTGGAGGCTTAGAATTCGATAGGCGCTCAGATGACCAGATGTTACCAAATATGATTCATATAGTATGGATTGATCTTCAAGCGCCAATCACTTTCGGAGGATCCCTCCGTCACGCAACGCCTTCGCACCTTGTTGATCACTGCGCGCCGCCTGGATGTGCAGATATGTCGCAAGCAACCGCCTGGACGCGACAGGTTGTGGAACTGTGTGAAAGATGTGAACTGCATGTCGCCAAGCACCTTTGGTGTGCAATGGACACCCAGGCAAAACGCTCTGCCCACTCATCCCATCGCAAGCTGCCTAGGGCTTGTTGGCTGGGAAGACTTCGTGATCAAAGTGATCACAGAGGCCGCCCTGATCTCTGACCAAAGTTACCTGTCAGGGACTGGGCCGAAGGGCCAAGCCGACTCAGCGCTCCCCCAGCTGTCAGTTGGACATGCTGGAAGGGCTCTCCTTCTGCCATCTGTGTGAAGAAGAACTTGAGCTCAACACCGTCTCGAACATGGCCTATTCCACAGAAGAGAAGATAGCCGCATCAGAGCGGCGACGCCAAGGCCATGTCCCAAACAAGCGCGCGCAGATCGTGGAGCAACACCACGATGAATCCTGCGGCGGGGACTTGTCAACGCTGGCACAGTCTGTCAAGCAGGAAAGTTACTTCGAAGAAGTCGGATCCTCCGATTCCGAACCAGATCTTCCAGCAGGCCTTGCCAAGTCCCTATCCGGCTGGTGTCAGCAAAGAGCAGAGATCGACGAGCCATCCAACCTGGGTGCCAACACATTCTTTGCATG